AATGCAAAACATAATTAGTTTTTATTGGCTTATTTTTTATCATAAAATATATATATATATTTTTTATCATAATATATATATATATATATATATATATATATATATATATATATATATATATATATATATATATATATATATATATATATATATATATATATATATATATATATATATATATATGTTTGACAAGTATGTAATGAAAACAGTAGTTTTCCCAAAAAAATCATATAATAAGGTTTTCATAATTTATTTCTTGTTTTGGACCTGGTTTATTGCATTTGGTTTGAATGCATCTTAAATCATTAATTTATTTTATACAGCATATGCAAAAGCTTTTTAAAAACTCGTATTGATCTTTAGCAAAGTATGACACTTCTTTTCTATTCTCAAGAAATGGTTCCTATATTTTTCAATCAGCTCTTAAATTAAAGTTAATATGAATTTTTTATTTAAATAATTAAATAAACTCGCTGTTATTGCTTAAATGTTGTTAAAGTCTTTTAAAACAACAATAAGCCAATCAGAAACAAATAAATGTTATTAGCCAATCGCGCTTTTGCAATTACAGAAAGTAAACAACTGTAATGGCTGATGGAAAAATATTATTTTAATACGAAAACATCGTTATTTATAAAACTTCTTTTCTCAAAAGTTTTCTCAAAAAGCTACCAACAAATGATTTAAATTTTGATAAATTCAGAACGTACAAATGTACTATATTCAAAATCAAAACAAAAAATTCATGGAACTTGATATAAGGTCTTAGTCACCTTCAGGGTAGCAGTGAAAAATTAAAAAAAAAAGACATTAAGATTAACTATTTTTTTGGCAAAGTTACTTATTCATGTTGAAACATATATTTACAGCATAAATAATCAAGTTCAAGTGTCTTTATAAAAAATGTTTCTTAAATCTTTTTTTCAGAGTGTAGTTTAGGCATTAATAGTCTATGAGCCATCCTGGCCCTAACAAATCCATCTCTTCTCTCAAATCAGATGCAGGTGCATCTGTTACCTCTTCTACAAACAGATGCAGGTGCATCTGTTACCTCTTCTACTGCTTTTTCACAAGGCTATGTGTGTAGGAGGAAATAAGGTGCTTCAAAAGGTGTTTCTATAGAAATTGTTAAGACCTTTTGTAGGTATTTGACAATTAAATACAGGTTCTGATTTATCTTCTTTGTCTGAGTGGATCAGTTCTTCTATGGAAATAGCTCCCAGATTGAGTTGAAACTTCTTCCTTTGCCTGAATCAAGTGTCTCCGTACTTTTCCGTACTCTTTGATGACTATAATGGCAAACCTTGGGTCCATCTTGCTTGAAGTCAAACATGTAATTAGTTTATAGCAGAAAGATGAATCTGACATAAACTTAGAAATGACATTAACTTAAAATTTTTTTAAGGATCTGGATAAATGGTTCCAACAAAATTAGGTTTAAATGTATCAAGTCTTTCCATACTATTCATATTGGTCCAGTGAAACTAACCTTTGAATTGGTGGGTCCATTCAGAGTGACAATAATGTGCCTCAAAGGAAGCTCATTGCAATGTAGCAACAATTGTTCAAGATTTGTCAACAAACTTTTTTTTGTCCATCTTTCCCTGGACCAGTTGTTGAATCTTCTACTATTACTTTCTAGAGTTTTATTTACTCCCCAAGAAACCATCCAATTGGACAAAAATTGTCCAATAGCTGCTTGTTCAACAGGCTTATTGGGAGGCATTGCCTTCATGGGTGTAAAATGTGTAATATAGTGACTGTCAGGTTCAGAAGTAACACTAATGTGTTCTTCTTTCATAACCCTTTGATGAAATCATTTCTTACAGGGTCGTGCTTTAAAACTCTGGTAAAATCTTTTCTGCCATCAGAAAAACTACTTTTGATAGGTTGTAATTGAATCTTCATTTGTTCAGATGTCTTTCTTTAGTCATAACTGCTTTCCAAGCTCTAACAACTTTCTTAGGATCTACAGCCAAATAGGACATTCCAGGCGTTAAAAAGTTACCCAGAATAAAGTCATGAAGAAAAACTGAAGCTACTGCTAATATTGCAGCTGGTGAAATATCAAATCTCAAAGAAGCTTCAGCACTATTACTAATAGACATAAAATTTTGTTTCCAGTTATCAGTGGAAGCAGGTTCATTGTCCATTTCTATTCTATTTGAATTATCATCACTTATGAAAGACTCATCAAGATCTTTATTCTTGGAAGTTTCTTCCTCTTCTTTTTTTTCCGATTTTTTTTTACTAGACTTGATTTTCTTTTCAGCTTCCTCTTTTCTAAAGAAACCTGTCTAGCTGTTTCCTTAGTATCTTTACAAGTCATTTGATATTTTAATAGTGACCCAGTTTTTTCTCCTTCAACTTTTAACCAAATAAGTTAACTTTTTGGAATCTTTTTTTCCCTCAGACAGGTACACTGAATACGTTCAAAATCTAGACAACTATTTAATTTTGAGCACTTTTCATTACATAAAGTGATTTCACATTTACAAGATGTAATGTCAAGCAATTGATCTAATTTGATTTTCCAGGTAGAAACAATTTTTTTGGGCTGCTTTTCCTCTAGAAATATCACTGAACTTATTTCAGGCTAATTCTATTTTCTGTACCAAAGATATCCATTTAATAATACTGAACTTATAGTAGCAGTAGTGCGCTTTCGAGCCTGTTTGACACGGTACCTTTGGCAGCCATTGCAAGCGAGGTAATGGCAAGAAAGAGTCGCAGCACTTTGTTTTATAAGAAAACGTGAATGAACGTGTATGCAAATTTCTAACTTACGTAAACTTTAAATTAAGTAATGTTAAAACATACTTAATTTAAAACATACGAAAAAAAAAAAGCCGTTTTTGAAAAACGGCTCCAGTATGGATGATACAACGAATATGTTGAAAAGAGATAATTAACCAAAATTTAAAAGCTCTTAACAAAAGCCACTAAACCAAAAAAATTAAAAGTAATTGCAGTTTAGTGCACTTAAAAATTTTAATACAGTATAGTGTGTTATTGTTTGCAATGAAACATATAAATCATTTTTAATTTTAATATAAACTAATTCTTTTTTAAACTTTGTTGCGCTTAATCATCCCTATATAAACAATGTATATTTAAACAAATATGTTATTTGTTTATATATATTTTGTTTATAAAATATAAAAAATTCACTTATATAACGTTTTATTCAGAATCGTATCTAATATAAGTAAACTTTTCTAATAATTAGAATTCTTTTTTGCTCAAGCTGTTTTGTTTTGATGTTTTGTTATTATATTTATTATTATTATATTATTCTTTACTTCTTAATCAAAATCACAAGAATGAATTATTTTTTTATATATTAGTATAAAAAAATATATATATATAATAATTTATAAATTATATTATTATTTTTTTTCTATAAATTTATTTATATTTAACATATAAGCACGATTAAGAAAATTTTAAAATTTATTACGCTAAGAGGTCTTAAACCCTCCAAAACAGCACTGATGACAGCGCGCTTAACCACTGAGTCATCAATGAAATGCGTTTAGCAGAAAAACAAACCTAATTATGAGTCTCTCATAAGCTCTACGTATGCGGAAAAGATGCTAAGTTTTTTGCTCTTAAATTTGTTTTTTAGAATAAATTATTTTACTAAAAAATATTAAAGTAAATAAGGAATAGTCATAGAAATAATCGGTGAGGAATAGATATGTAAATTGGTATATTGGTAAAGACCTGTGTTTTACGGATCCGGAAAGCTGGGATATATAAAGAAAAAGTATAGAAAAGTTTGGTTTGGAATAGATTCACAAAGACCTGTATTTTTACGGGTCCTATCTCAGCTAGTCTAGTTTAATACCACAGGAAACTTGAAAAGAGCATTTAATCTTGTCCACTGTTGAAGAACCAACTCTGCTAATTGTACACTAAGTTCTCTTACAGAAATCAGCTTCCTTATAAATAAAACAAATAATAAAAGGTTTGGCTTAGTGAATACAAGTAAATATAAACAATATTTCTGCAATCTTTAAATGTTTTCATTACATACTTGCCAATATATATATATATGTGTGTATATATATATATATATATATATATATATATATATATATATATATATATATATATATATATATATATATATATATATATATATATATATATATATATATATATATATATATATATATATATATATATATATATATAAATTCATTTTATGCACGAATTTTGCAGCGTACTTAAGTGTACTCTGTTTTTTGTTACAGTTAAAATAAACTATTTAAAAATAATTAAATTTTTAAAAAATGTGGTTTTAATAAACGTGTATGTTGTAAAAGTTACGTCATTTTTAACTCTCGATGGTCAGTTTTTCAAAGTATTTTAAATATTAAATAACTACTAGACCAAAATTTCTAAAATAGTTACTAATGAACTAAATACAAGAAATTAATATTTTAATAGTAACTAATAAAATACAAAGCTGCTATGTAAATAACTTAAATAAGCGTTTTAAAAAGTCTTCAATATTGATTTAAATTTATATACTAGCAATTATATTAATTTTACTTTCATAAGTATTGATAATTTTCACAGTGATTCAACGCGCTTTATAAATAAAAACTATATGATATTATACATTAAAATTTTATTATTTTATTATATCGTTTTTATCAAGTCTAAAACTTTTTTTAATTTCAAGTTAATCTTTTGTAAAAGTCCTGTTTGAATTTGAGATACCAGTTCATTGAAATCAGCAATGAACTGATGTCTTGTTTTGATGTAACGTCGACGTAGTTGTTTTGATGTAATGTCGACGTAGTTGTTTTGATGTAATGTCGACGTAGTTGTTGTGATGTAACGTCGTCAACCTAGTTGTTGGGATGTAACGTCGACGTAATTGTTTTGATGTAATGTTGACTAGTAGGTGTCAATATTACACAGTAAGTTATTATTTATTTTTTTTTTTGCTTAGTTTATAACTATATTTTGTTGATTTATTTGTTTAGAGTAACATGTCAGCTATTGTAAAAGCTACAAATGAAAGGCGTGTGAGGATGACTGTTGGATTTCTTTTGGCCACTGGAGCGATGCCTATTTATATATTGTATTCATTGGTGAAACCAAAATAATTTTATAAAAACACATCTAACTTAGAAACAAATTGCTAAGTTGTTTATTGAATTGGAAATATTGATTTATAAATTTAATAGCTTTGTATTTTGTGCGTGTAAAAGCTAGTTAAATAAATTAATGTACTGGGTTTTCTTTCAATCAAAAAACCGTTTTTTTTTTTTAGTTTTAAAGCTATAGTAAGTTAGGTATAATTTTGTTACGAGATGGAATGCCGGACAAAAATTTCCAGATTTAACGCTGTTGAACATTTGTTCGTTTTTGCACTCTGATATTTATGTACTAACTGTTGCTTATTTGACCTATATTGGTTTTTTATTGCGTTTTACTAACCAATATTAGTAGTGTTCAAGTGTGAGCATTTATTTCTATTGGTTTTATAAATTAAATATTACCATTATTAGTTTTACAAATATTTGCATTTACTTTAACCACGCGCTTTATATTTTGCAAGCATTATAATAGTGTCGATATAATTATATTATAATTTCTGAATCACGTGACACCGTTAATATTGGCCATTTTATCTATATCATTTTGTAATTCGTTTCTTAGTATCTTGATTTCGTTCAGCTTGACAAGAGTTTTACTATATTATCAGTGCCGTGGCTAGAGGATTTCAAGTCACCCCCCCCTACCCACTTTCTCTATCCCTCCTTTTCCAAGAAACTCATTAGGGCCTTGGTATTATGCTATAAACAAAAAAACGAAGTTTTTACCGTAATGTATATATAATGCTATAAACAAAAAAACGAAGTTTTTACCGTAAAACTCGAAATTTTTTGCGCACCACACGAAGGTTTTGCGTAAAAAGCAAAAAAGCAATCCATTGCTATAAATATTGTTATAAATATATATATATATATATATATATTTAAACAATTTAAAATGTTTTCTACAAAAAGAGTGCTCAATGTTCTTAAAAGAACAGAGCAATTACAAATTTATATATATGTATATTTATTTTCAATATGTATATATTTTTATAATAATATTCATAACAATTAATTGTTCTTTCTTTTTTTTTTCTTTTTTTTTTTTTTTTTTTTGCTGTTTACGCAAAACCTCAGGGTAGTACGCAAAAAATTTCGAGTTTTACGGTAAAAACTTCGTTTTTTTGTTTATAGCATTGACCCCTGTAGGGTATAGCAGAGTTAGGTTTTACCGTTAACTATCTTACGTTAACTGAATGGAGGACACGAGAATACGAATTTTTTTTAACGCCGGTGTTAAAACTGCCGTTAATTTTAACCCAGCCGTTAGCTTAACGCAGGGTTTAACGGAAAGACGTGAACGTCTACAGGGTATATTTCTGTAAAAGTACCTAGGCTTTTAAAATGTATTCTACAAAATTTTTTTTTTTTTTTTTTTGCTGAGTGATTTTTTACTAATTTGTAACCTCTCTGTTCTTATAAGAGCAGAGCGATTACAAATTAGTAAAAATCACTTAGCAATATTTAATGGTTAGATTTCAAATTCTTGTCTATGGAGTAGCAAAGTGTTTACACAAGCATTATTAGTTTTATAATCTTTATGGCCCTGTTTCAGTTCCTAGAGTTTCCGCAATTAAATACACATAGTTAGGGTCAGGGTTTGGATTTGGGTTAGAATCAATTAAAACTCATGGGTTTTGCTTTAAATAGTTTTTCTTTAAAGTGTTAATAAAAACCGGGCTGTTTTTAAATTAACTAAGAAAAAGAATCTAATCATATTTCGAGTATGGCGATTATTAGCGTTTTAAGTGTAATTTTTTAAACTTCAATATCAAGTTAGAGTGCTTTCCTCAATTTTTCAGGTCAATATTTTTATATGATTCTTAATTAGCATGAAATTCTCTATCGAAATTAATCATAAAATGATAGGGGTAGGCAACTGAAACAGTGCCATCTTTGTTATATAAAATCATGGCCGTCCAAAAAAGTATGAATAATAAAATAGACACATCCGAGATAAGAAATAAACTTCGAGTGAAAATGTTTTACTTAGCAGACTTAACTCAAACATTTTTATGAAAAGTTCCTTACTAAGAGTACGTTTAACTAGCTTGGTTTATAATGAAACATGTTGCTTTTTTCATTAAATTGTAGAATTAGAATTATACTATTGAATTGCAATGAGTGTAATTTAATAATGTTTCAAATAAACTATTTAAAGTTGATTAATAACCAAATTATTCATATATAACAGCAGCAAACAATCATAAAAGTCAAAATTTTTTTATAATAAATAACTTTTTGACATGCCACTCTTTTCTAATGTATTATATAGGTTACAAACATTAACGTCGGAAAGTATGTCAATGTAAAACTTCACCCTCGATGAGCGAAATAGACAAATATGAGCGTTTTTAACAATATCTGGTGCAACTTAAAATATTCAAGTTTACTTAAATTTTTACCAGCGCAATATAATTAAAGGAGAGCTAATTTAATCAGATTTGTTGAAAAATTCAAAGTATTGTATCATGACCTACTATATTTATATATGAATATAGTAGGCCATGATTATATTTGGAACCTGGCTAAATAAAAGTTTAACTTTTCGGTTTTTTTTAAGCTTTTCAAAATCGCGCTTTTTGCAAAAGTGTCCTTAAATACAGCATACGTACTCGCTGTTTTTAACAACGTCTCCCCATGTCCACATTCGTACGATTTAGGGTAGCCCGCTTCCCCTAATATCTGCGTAAGTACATTACGGAAGATTTCTATCGTTAATTTACTAATTGAATTGTTTGTTTTTTTTGTATTTTTTTTTTTTTTGTAATTTTTGGGTTGATCTTTAAATAAGATCAACCCAAAAATATAAAGATTGTTGGTTCTTTTTAAAAATCTTTTTTTTTTCAATTTTTTAAATTTTAAACTTTTATTGGGTTTTTTAGTTCTTTTCCGAATATTATTTTATTAATAATATTATCGGGTTATAAAAGTATTAGAAAAAAAATAAAAATAAAATTTATTTTAAATCTTTTTTATTGGTTTTTCCTGCGCGCGTTTTAAGAAATCTTTATTTGTTTGTTTAGTTTCAGGATGTTTTAAAGCTAATATTGGAATTCTTTTTTGAATTTAGGGAGGAATTATATTTATATAAAACGTTAATTTCTTAAAAGCTCTATCGGAACTTTTCAGTAATATTAGTAACGACGTCAAATTTATCTTTAATTTTTAAATATACAGTGGAATTTATCGGAAAATCAAGTTTTAGTTACAACATATAAAGGGTAATATATATATATATATATATATATATATATATATATATATATATATATATATATATATATATATATATATATATATATATATATATATATATATATATATATATATATATATATATATATATATATATATATATATATATATATATATATATATATATATGTATATATATATATATATATATATATATATATATATATATATATATATATATATATATATATATATATATATGCGTAGAAGAAAGAAGATCACGCAGAAGGAAAAAAAATTAAATGATTAAAATTTTATGACTCTAAGAAAATTTAGAACAAAAAGATAAAATGATTTGTATTAAATTATTTTAAATTATTTAAAAACATAAACAATTCTTTGTTTACAATGTTCGAACATCCGGTGTTAAAACTACATATTAAATTATTCAACTTGTTTATTCCGTTTGTGGCTATGTCTCAAGTGTTAATTGAATAAAAATTTTATCGTCTGAGTTTTTCTTAAAGCCGCGTTAATAATTTGATATTTGGTAAAATATATGGTAACATTAATAACGCAATAATCTCAAGCTTAAAAAAATATTTGTTTCTGTTATTTGCTACCTTGTTAGGTTTTCGCTTTTACATAAGTAAATTACATTACTTACGTTAATAATTACATCATGATTTACTTTTAATCACATTAACAATATATATATTTTTTATTTTGTAAGTACGTTCTTATTTGGAAAGACTACTTCAGTTTGACGGTTTTTTTGATTTTATTAAATTTTATCACGATTTTTATATACTTTAAATGAATATTTAAACTTTTGCATTTAATTTTGCGTTTATAGTTGAGATTTTTGGATGTATATTTGTTTGTGCGTCTGAAATTAAGTATTTATTGAGTGTTAAAAGTTTTTTCAACAAACAAAACGTGTAGCTGAAAAAAAACTGTTTCAAAATAGCATTAAATCATTAAATTGGGTAAAAAAAAATGTACGTTATCATTAAATTAGTAAATAAAAAAATACACAAGTTAGGTAAAAGTGTTTTGTATTCTATTAAAAAAAAGTTTTATTGAACTAAAGAAGTTAAAATGAATAAGAATAAAAATTAAAGAAAATGCCGCAGCATAAATTTATCATATCTTTTTATATTTAAAAAATATGAAAAAAATGACTTTAAAATCATTGATCTAAATTTTAAGAACAATTAATGATAAGAACTGATGATAAGAACTTTTTAATAAATGCTATAATCATTTATTTAAATTAAAAGATAATTAACTTATTTGTAAAAATCCTTAAACTAATTAGATCATACTGGATAACATTGATGACAATAAATAGGCTATAGTTTAGGGGTTGTTAATACAGTCTTTTTGAAATGCTCGCGTAATTAAAATAAGAACAAATAAATTCTATTTTGTGTATGCCTAACTAGTTTTGTAATTTATCAAATACATAATCTAGTGGTTTTTAATTTTTCATTTATTTATTATTATTATTTTTGCAACTTTTTCGTAAAAACCAAATGCTTATCACCGAACGAAATACCTTAATTGTATAAAAAGTCTAGTAAAATTAGTTATTTTATAAAATTGTGTTTTTAAACAACTGGGAAGCATAAAGAATAAACAATTTTACTCAATTATTTTTCTTTGGCTGAAATATTTTAAATATAACAATAATAAATTATTCATTTCAATTTTTATCAAGTAAACAAATTTAATTTTCTTTCATTTTCTATTGTGTATCTATAACTAAGTAGTACAAACCTAATTATTCTATTTATATTTTTTGGCCTTGTCACCAGGGGTACTGTGTACAAACTTTTGTTTAAAATCCAGACTAAACGGAAGCATCAAAAACATAAACCAATAAAATTAATTTAAAAACTTCGTTTGTTTGTGATTTGTTTTGGCATTTTAAAAGAGCAGCTGAAATTGTGTTTAAGCGGTAGCTGTAACAATTAATTTAACTATATCGTTGTAATAGCGCATGCAAATGTTATCGTATTTTATCTTTCTTCAGATTTCTTTACAGAAAGTAACATCTAGAAAGTCAATGAATTGCTGTTTTTTTTTTGACTGCAACTTAATTAGGTTTGCTTTGGGTGTTTCCAACTGATGATTTTTTTTTTACGTGGCTAGTTGATTGCTTTGACTGTTTTAGTAGCATTTAAAATGAAAAGACGGTTATTATTCAATCTTTTTTACCTTTGCATGATTTGGTATTGCTTTGCGAAAATTAAAAGAGCTGAAACAAATAAGTTTCAAATTAACAATAACTATGACGAAGAAAAAGACTTACAAAAAGTATGCAATATTGTTATGTGGATTTACATTTTTAAAAATTTTTTTCGTTTTAGTAAAAAAATTTTAGTTCAATATTGTTTCCATTTGAGATTTAAAATTTAGTATACAATACAACGTTTTATTTGTGTGTGACTTTTTAAAATATTTTTATTTGATAAATCTTGCCTAAGATTTCTACTTTATTTACTTTCTTTTTGAAACACTTCTATTTAACAGAGGTTACACACATTAAAGAAGCTAAGTGAACAAGCATCTAAACGATTGGCAAACTTAAATGATTATTCAACATTTTATACAAGTTTTGTCAAAAACATATTAAGAGTTCGAGTTCCTGGGACAGTTGGACACCATGAAGTTAAAGAAGTAAAATTACTTATTATTATTGATATTTTATAAATTTATTAGAGAATAGAGACTTTTTATTGCTTTTTAACTGACTTTTTTTTTTTTTGCTTTAGATGTTTTATAAACTTATTGCTTCAATAGAAACTTTTTATTGTATTTTAAATAAAATTTTTTCTTTTTATTTGCTTTAGTTTATAAAGAATACTCTTACAAAATTTAAATGGGATGTTCAACTTGATGAATTCACTTCAACAACTCCTTTAGGAGACAAAAAGTTTACTAACATTTTAGCGACTCTTAATCCAAAAGCGAAAAGAAAGTTGGCTTTTGCTGCACACTATGATTCAAAGCTTATGAAACCAGTTAATGGAAAGTACTTTTTGGGTGCTATTGATTCAGCTGTTCCATGTGCTATGCTACTTGATTTAGCAAGCATTTTGACTAAAAGTTATAATAAGGATTTAAACAATAGCAAAGTAAGTCTTTATTATGTCATGAAAGTATCATATAAGCAACATTTGATTTTTTTAATTCAGCATAATTACAGGCTCTGTTAAACTTAGTCTAGTTTAGCACTGTTTATGGGTCTGGGTTTAAATTGTTTTTTGTTAATATTTAACTCATTTAAAAGTGAAAACAGTTGAATACTAACAATACTGATTTTTAATGTTTTTTTTTTAAATGAAAACTGCATAAGAATTTAATGATAACTAAGAAGATTTAATGGAGTGAATTTGAAATCTTATTGATGGTCTTGATAACGGAATTGAAATTTGTTCATAGAATTATTGTAATGAAAAAAATTATTTTTTTTTTCAAAAAATTTATTATCAAAAATTAAAATACATTTTTTTTGAAAAAATTTAATTTAAAATAAAATAAAAAGTAAAGTAAAAAATTTCTTTAATTTAAATAATTTAAAATTATTTAATAATTTAAAATTTTGATTTACATTATTTTTAACTTGCTTTATTATATAGGTAAAATTTTTCTTAATTTTCAACTTCATAAAGAAATTTAAAAGTATAATACCTGATGATGTCTATCTATGGCTAGCTTTCATCTAGACATTTTTACATATCAGTAAAAAATAAAGAAAAAATTTGAGTAAAACTAGTTTTCAAATCTTTCAAAAACAAGCTGTATGTTTTCATTAATCTCATTATTTTAAATCTTTTGTTGTATACAAATTTGTATGCTCTAGCTGTTTTGCTATTTACATATGCTAGTTAGGTTGGTGAAATCACCAGACATTGTGCAACAAGAGTTAAGAATTAAAGACAGAAATTATATTCATATGAAAAATGTCTCACTTAGCACCCAAGTAAAGAGCTTCATCATAACAATAACAATATAGATGTGCTCCATCATATCATCTATTGAATCACTTGTTTTATTTCTCACTATATTATATGTAATTAACTTATTATTATTTATTTTTCTATTTCTATTTGATTATCTTGTATCAATAGGAACTTTTGTCAATAAAAAAATGTAAAAATTTTAATTGTAGCTAAACAGCCTTTTATATATGAGCCAGCGAGAATCAGAATGATGTAAGTCAACATTTTCTAAATTTGATATTTTTATGGCTTTATTTGTTTTATCTAGAGAAATCTCTACAAATTAAAAAAAAAACAGTTCCCAGTTTCTTTACATAAACTTACACTATACACCAGTCTCAAATTTAGCAGAACCTTTCTTTGTAATTATAAACTCTATTTACTCTATTTATTTTTTTGACTTGCTGACCATGTTGATTCTCACCAGCTCATACATAGATTTATAAGTCATTTTTTACCTGGTGATATCTATTGATAGAGACAAGACATGTTTTATGATTCTACTTTTTCATAAAAATTATAAGTGTATATTTATATATATATTTATATATACCTAATATAAAACAATAAAATAATATAAGTTTTTTATATTTATATTTATATATACCTAATATAAAACAATAAAATCAAATTTAAATTATAATAAGTAGGTACAAAATATTCATTTAAAGTTTGACCTATTTTAACTAATTAATAAATATTGACCTAAATTCAAAGTAATCTAAAATCATTGAAGTTCTAGTTTTTATCTTTACTTTAAAATTAGCTCAGTGAGGTTTCACCAATGCTATTATTTTTGGATGGAGAGGAAGCTTTTGTTAAATGGGATAAAAGTGATTCTATATATGGTGCTCGAAACCTAGCTCAAAAGTTATCGACACAAGTTCGAATGAATTCTGATATTACAACCAAGTCAATCACAATGTTGGATTCTTTGGTATTTAAATTTTTTGTTTCAGTAGTTCACTTAGTGACATCATTTTCCATCATTTTATATACTTTTATTTAATTGTTATTTACAACTGCAATGGTTAAAAGTTCAAATTTTCATAGATTTTATTTTTATTTTTTGCTAATTGATTTAAAGTTTTCAGAATTTTAAAATTATTCATAGATTAAAGAAATTATTATTATTGGCTAATAATTTTATTTAATATTTATTTTTTCATAATATTATAGGATGCATTTATATTATTGGACTTGCTTGGCGCAAAAGATCCACATATATTTGACATGTATAATTCTACCTCTTCTTTATACAAAAATTTACAAGATATTGGTTTGTTTAATTTTAACATTATCTTTTATTTTTTTCTAAAATGAGTAAATGCTTTTGGCAAATGAATAAAAAATTGAAAGCATATTGTTTGATACATGTTTCTTATTGCGAGTGTTATTTACATGTTTTTTAGAAGTTGTAAGTCTTTTTTTAATGTTTCACACATATTTCAGTTTTTATTTTTATGTTTTTCTAGAAAAACAGCTACACGAAAATAATGATATTAATAACGAAAGTCCTTATTTTGTTGGTTCTCCTCCTAGCTCCATATTTATTGAAGATGACCATGTTCCATTTCTAGAAAAAGGTTAATTTTTTTTTTCTGGTCTAGTATTTTACTGTATTAGGATGTTTAGGTGTTATCTGATATTTAAATGTTTCTACTCATTATATAAAAGGTTTTTTTTATTTAGGTGTGCCTATACTTCACATTATTCCAGTCCCCTTTCCAAAGGAGTGGCACACATTAGAAGACGATGCTGACGCGCTAGATCCAAAGACAATAGAAAATCTATTAAAGATTTTCCGACAGTTTGCCCTTGAATATTTCCATTTTTCTCCGTGATCATTTTTTTTATTTTTATTTTAATATTTAAAAAAATATATTTTTTTTAATCTGTCAACAAACTATAAAATAATTTTTATTTAATTTAAATTTATTGCGTAACATTTTAATTTTATTATTATTATTTCTTTTATATTTATATATATTATAGTTTTATAATAGGCATTTTGATTTTTATTTATTCATTTCATTTAATTACAACTTTTCTTCGCTGTAACAATATTTACGAAAACACTATTACTTGCGTGCAGCAATTTCTCTTCTTCACAGCTATTAAACACAAAAGCAGTTTTTTTATATAAAGTCTTTTTTATATATTGTCATAGTAGACTACTTTTGTTTATATGATACATAATTTTAAACCAAAACGATACTTGTTTAAAAATAAAGTTTACTTGTTGGTGTATCTTTTAATAATTTTTTGAGTTGAATGAGTTTTAAACGATCTAAACGTTAATAGTAAATAACATGAAGCAATAATCGTTTAAGTGTTGTTAAAACTTTTTATAGGTTTTTATACTAAAATGTCAAACAGGAATCATCTTCACTGGTACAAATACCTTGTGTCCTTTTACAATCAATTAGAAATAAAAGTTGTATATTTTATACTGCTAAGCCCATCCTTTGCCCAAGTGCTATTCAAATTGTTCTTCGGTTTGTAGTTAAATAAGATCGGAAAAAAGATTCCGTAGGCGCTGCAGCAAATGAAGGCTAAACAGAAAAAAAGACATTTAAACGAAGTCAGATTTTTAAGGTTCAACTATATAAAAACAATTAAAATCAAAATACATTTCACCAATGGAATTTTTTTTTAACCATATAAAAATGACAAATAAATCTGTCTCAACTAATTTTTGCGTAATTTTCTGTAAAAAGATAAAATTTTATGACGTGGCAAAAAACGTTCATGATAGCTGTTATTTAAAATATGCATAGTGATTACATCTTTTGTAAATATTGCACTGAAAACCATTTTGCTGCATACTATATTGCATACAATTATAATTTGCCATCATTACTATCATATAACCGTTGCATTTAATGAGTTTTAACTACAATGAACAAAACGTGAAAATTTTAGGTCAAAAGCATTGTGTTTAAGCATTGTGTTATGAAGTTTTGAATTTTTGAAAAAATGGCAAAAAATAAAAAAATGTAAACAAGGTGTAAATCAACTCTCGAAATAACTTTTTTAAATTTAAACAAATACAACTGAATAAGCATATCAAACCCCCAGCCTTTTTGATTTGTTCCTTTTGGCTTAAAAGATCAAAATACCGTTTCTTTATTGTTGAATTTTGACGTTTCTTATGGTTAAATTTTCTTTCGTTCTTTAACAAGTAGTTGAGAATTATGTTTCATAAATGCCAATCAAATAATTTCTTTTTTTTTAATTTTGAAACGTTGTTTTTGCAACTTTTCCAAAATTGTTACATTCAAATGACGATAAAACTTTTCTGATACCTTTTCCTCCATCATTGGAATGTAAGACTGCAGAGTATACTGTCATTAAAATGTAAGACTGAGAGTATACTGTCATTAAAATGTAAAAGTGCAGAGTATACTGTCATTAAAATGTAAGACTGCAGAGTATACTGTCATTAAAATGTAAGACTGCAGAGTATACTGTCATTAAAATGAAAGACTGCAGAGTATACTCTCATTTTAAAATCTTCTTTGGAAAAATTTGGTTTTAAATACTTTAATAAAATATATTTTTTTCATACTAACAGAAGCATTAATTTTTTAAGAATTATCATTTTTCATTGGCTCATTTACAATGTCTCATTTTTCACAAACTTTATTTTATAAAAAAGTAATATAAATCTCTCGCGAAAAACACAAAAAAAACAACACAGATTTCCTTGAAATGAATTTCTTCGAACGTTTTCAATGATGTGTATGAAAACTTATTTCAGTCACACCATATACAACATATCAAAATGACAAATCCTTTTTTGAGATTCTAGATTATCTATTAAGGTCTCAGTACTGTAACAATTTTAAGTTACATTTGGAACCGGTATTTAATTAAAACCAGGTAGAACACAACGGAGTTAATTAATAATTTTTTTAATATTGGTATTATTTAAAATATTATTCTAGTTATATAAATCCTATGTTTCTAATTGTGCACATAGTTAATGTAAGATAAGTTTTCCTTCCTGGAACTGGTTTTTCAATATGAATCTGTTCAAAAAATTCAATAGAATTGAGAATAACGAAGAATTTTGATGTTTTCATTTTTTTGACTTAAATTTTTGACTTTTTATAAAAAATAATGTTTTGTAATTTTAACAATTTTCACTTTAAAGGTATTATTTTCTACCTTTCTACCTAAAAGTATAATTTTCTACCTTAGAGGGTTGAAAATTATACTTTACTAAGGGTGTTTCACATATTCTACCCTAAGGTACATCTCTCAATTTACATCTCTCAATTTGATGGGGTTTTGATTCTAGATTTTCGATTTGGATTTTTGATTTTTTTATCACATAAATTATTTTTAATGATTAAAAAAAAAAAAAAAAAAAATACAAATAATAACAAATGCTAAATTACTTGATGGTTATAAAGTTTAAAAAAATCTCAGCAAGCACACTCCTATAATCAGAATTGTCTTAATGTTACCCAGGGCCGTCGTAGAAAAGTTTACCCCCCTATTTTTCACCAATGGTCATCAGTAAGTAACAAAATCATTTAAGGCATTTATATAAAACTTTAATTGAAAGTTTTGCGCTACTTGAATGTTCTAAACCCGTATCAGTAGATATGTGTTCTGCAGGTGCGCAGTAGTTGGTTTTCACAAAGACAAGCTTAAATTATTATCATATTTTTTAATATTTTGCAGAAGAATGGTAGAAAAAGTGGATTCTAGATTTTAAAGAACTTAAAAAGTTTTTAGGTTTATGAGGTATTTACCTAAAAATCTAAAAAAACAACTTTTGCCAGCAATAAATTCTCCCCAATGAGCTGGTATAATAACTTTAAAACAAAAAAAACTTTACTATAAAAGCTATAAAACAAAACAAAGCAAGTTAAGGAAAATTATGATCTTGGATGCTTTATTCTAATTCAAAAATTCAAAAAAATGTCTTTAAGTTTGAAGAGTAAAGACATAAAAAAATGTTGTCGATGAAGACTTATATTTATATTATATTAAATTATAATTTAAATGATAGTATAAGATTTCAAATAGTAAAATAAAAAAAATGAATAATGGAAAATAGATAAAATGGTAACTAGATGGTCAAGGTAATATAATATGGTTAAAGTAATAGAATTTTTTTTTTTTTTTATTCAGTGCTGAAAAAAAAAAAAAAATTACAATAAATCTATTTATAGTTTGATGAAAAGGTGCTACCCTGGGCTCCTCTATAAAAGTGATACTGTCCGACTAATTTTTAATTATGCCAATAGTTTTACTGTCGTCAGCATACAGTTTCATATGATGAGTGATGCTGTCAAGAAAGTCATTAATGAAGATTACAAAGAGTAACGGGCCCAAGACTGAGCCTTGAGGCTCGCCACTAGTGAACGCTTGCCATTCAGATGTGATGCCGTTATAAACTACAGAAAAAAGGAACAAAAAAACCTTTTCAATAGAGCGCATGAAAAAATAACGGAAGTCCGGTAAATTTGCAGTGATATTGTTATTCGTGATTGGAAAATATAAGAAACAAGATGTTCCATTCAAACTATATAAGTATTGTTAAATTTTTTTTATCTAACTTTTTTTTAGTTAAAACTTTTTATTTTAAAAAGAATGATAGTTTAGTAATAAAACTTCGTAATAAAAATGTCATTGTTTGTGATCAAGGTTTAAAAAAGCATCGCCTCAAGGCGGTGAAGCGTGCATTTTCTGCAAGTTTTTTAGGTTTTTAACCTTCTTAGGCCAGGTAAATAAAATAAATGAGCAATTACTTTTACTTAGTAACTGGTCAGCTTTACCTGAATAAAAATTCAACAATTTTACTGAAGTTTTTTATCAGGCTGAGTAATTACTGAGTTGCTTAACAAGTTGCTTAACTTACGGATGCCTGAGTATATATGACGAACAAAACTTACAATTTGAATTAACCATAGTCATAAAATACTGTTATTATGACTATGAATTAAAAAATTACGTATCAAATTACGTATACGTTCGTATGCGGATGATATCCGTATACGGACGGATAAAAATACAAACACGTGTCAGTACGCGTACTGACACGTGTTTGTATTTTTATCCATAATTATATTAATTTATATCACCACGATGTTAATGAAAAAGATTGTGATTCATTATGCATTGAACTTATGCGTAAGCAAGTTTTAAAAATTTTAAATTACCAAAAATAATTCAAATTTTTTTTATGCGCGTTTTTAACGTAAGTGAATAAAACACGCGTTTATTTTGTTGGTGACCTGAATATTAATATTTTAAACTATGCAACAAATAATAGCGTTAAATGTTTTGTAAATACTATTTTACAAAACAGTTTCATTCCAAAAATAATCAAATCAGCGAAGGATCGCAAAAATTTTTTAAACTCTACTCGACAAGATTTTTAATAAGTTTTAAGGTGCTCCAAAAAACGCTGCGAAATAAATTTAATCAAAAAATACATGCCTCCTTACTAACCAATGTCATTTAAATGGCTTAAGACGGTGTCGAACCCTACGCGACACTGCTGCGTATAAGTAGTGACTGCTTTGTTATCAGTATAATAAAGTTTGACAGATCATTCTCCAACATTTCTTATTACAAACAGCAAAGCACCTAATAATACTCCTTCAAAAACGTATTACATTCAAACAATAGATAATCAACTGCGTTGATTGGGAGCTCTAATTAACAGCGTTGTTTGGAAGCTCTTCAACCACTTGATGCTAACATTACTTATAAACATTTTCTAGCGCAATTTTGTAAGCAGTAAAACGTTTTCTATAAAAAAGTTTTATGTAAAATAAAACCATTTCTACAGCCTTGGATAAAAAAAGTTTTCCTAAAATCTTCAAGAAAAACAGAAGTTTTATGATAAGTTTCTTAAGAATAAAAATTATTTAAATTCAAAAAAAAAAATACTAAAACTATAAAAATATAGGGTAGATTAGGGCAATATGAACACCTTAAACAAAAATTGAAATGATTCGTTATTAACAACACTTAACATTAAAAGATTAAATTTTAAGCCACTTTTTGTTGAAACAATACTACTTTGTTTTCCGCAAAAAAAAAAAAAAAAAAAAAAAATTAGTTTGTTACTTTTTCAATTTTATTAATTCAAATCTGAACAATAAAAATTCGGATTTTTTGATTTTAAATTGCAGAAAAATATTTAGTATTGTTAAAATATTAAAATTTTTTACTATGTTTTGTTTTTATTCGAAAAGCAATTAAAACCGCTGCTATTTTATGAT